TCAACATTTTCACACCAGAAAGAACAGTGAGCTAAATAATAAAAATATTAGTGGAAACTTCTCGCTAGGATTTTRCTATCAAAGTGAACTAAATAATGATGTGCGAGTGACATTTTTAACATTTTATTTAACACTTTGTGCCCCATATGGGTCCTTTCAGTAACCATATTTTTAAAAAGCAGTTAACCAATTATTTCATTTTGGAGTGTGATCAGGTGTAATAAAAATATATAAGTTTAATAAAATAATCTTGAATTTCTTAGGACAAAGTTCAGATTTTACAGATTAACAACAAAAAAGGTTCAAAGTGAAAAGGTGGAGTGMTTCAAACTGGGCAAAAATTATACCTCACATCTGAATTCATTGTTTTATAAAACAGCYAAATTGCAAAAAAGACCCCTTCTAATCTGGGCCCGTATTTATCAAACTGAATTCTTCTCAAGAATTCTGTTAAGAATGGACTAACGTGTAAAAAAAAAATCATTGCTAAAAGCTGAGAGTAAACATCAGTTTTCAAGCATCTCAGTCTCACTTAAAACAAAGTGTGCAGGGCCCGTATTTATCAAACTTCTTAGAATTCCTCTTAAGAACGCTACTAAGAGTGGACTTAAGTGTAAAACAAATTCTTAGTTAAAAGCTGAGAGTAAAAGTCAGTTATCAAGCGTCTCAGTCTTACTTTAAGCGAAGTGTAGGAGTGATTCTTAAGTGTCAGTCTTAGAGCTGATTTGCGACACCTGGCTGTGCCTCAAAGCTGATCCTGGATGAYGTCGTTAGGAGAAACACCAGCATGGATCAATCACTGCCTCGGATTTTATGTTCAAGAATATTGTCAGCGAAATGTCAAGATAAGACTGCGAAAATCCTAAGATAAGTTCACTTTTAACACACTAATGTCACCTTGTACTGATCATCTGTAAATTACATAAAATGTCCTCATTTACATCATGAATACAGACGAAAAACTCAGTTTTTTAATCTAACACTCAGCAGCTTTGAAGTTTTTTTTTATGTCTCAAAGCCTGAAGTAGTGTTGAGCTGCTCCCTCCTCTTTTCCAACACCAGCTTCACACACACACACATAAACACACACACACACAACCCTGCTCCATTATTAACAGCTTGGTCAGAGGCAATCCCCACCCCGGCAGGTGCATGCTCCATCATTGTATGGCGTGACTGTTCATATATTAAGAAGTTCAATCCCATCGTAATTTTTCTTTCTTTCTTTCTTTCTTTTAATTTAATTTATTTTTCTTAGGTGGGGCTAAATACATATAAGGCAATATAGCACAAAGGCTAACAGGCTAAGCTGAGGTTCTTCTTCCATGAAGCAGCTCTGTTGTCCTCCATCCATATTTTCAGTTACAGGCTGAGTCATTTCTACCTTCTCCTCTCTGTCAACGCTCTCTGGTTTCATTTAAAAGAGTCGATCATCAGATATTGTCCAAGATTAACCTTCAGGGTGGAAATAGCTCGCTCACACTGAGGACCTATTCACGTCATCATTTACCCAGAATGCTTTGCGTGTAAATAAAATGGCTCCGTCCATGTTAAAATATATTGTTTTAAATTTACTAAACTAAACAGCCTACAGTATTTTTACAGTCTTTATTTTGCAGTTAAAATATATGTTTATCAAATAAAGTCTAATGTTACAACTAATCATGGATCCCTTTTAAATTCGTCTGAATACAGCAAACATTTTCAACGAAAGAGTGACCTAAATTCTGATTTTATTGATCAGAATTGACTAAATTGGTTTATTTTTTCACCCATTTGAAACCTAGAAAATAGCAAATTTTCTTTCAATAAGGGAATTAATTAATYTTGATTAATTTAGACATCCATTTCCAGCAATAAATCTGACTATTTGTTTAATTAAAGTATTCAATACTTATTTTATTGTTGAGCAGGTAAAGGAAAAATATTTTTGGCCCTCAAGTCTTTCTGACTGTATGATTTTGGCGCACGTGACAAAATGTTTGGACACCCCTGCCCTAGAGGTAACCATGTGCTGTCTTGAATATCTGGGAGAGTAAGAGCGATTCTTAGACTTAAGAATTTTGATAACTGGCATTTACACTTAAGTTTGAGAGTTGGAGGGAATTTAAGAAATTTTCAGCACTTAAGTTTAAAATTCCGCTCTAAGAAGTTTGATAAATACGGGCCCAGGACTGCGTGTCATGCATCCATTCCACATACTCTTTTTGTGTCCAAGTGCAACAGCTAAGGCCATCGGGCTGTACCCAGAGTCGGACTCGATGGTTATGTCTGCTCCTTTGGCTGAAAGAGAGCAGGAGAGTTAGAAAGAAAGCATCTGAATTTGTTTGCACTTCCCATRAATAATACATTTCCTACATACCTAGTAGTGCCTCTACACATTTGATGTGGTTACCTCGTACAGCATAAAGAAGAGGAGTTCCACCGTTCTATGTAAAAAAAAAAACATTGAAACTTGAGTTTAACTCAAGTAAATGTTAGACTTTAGCGTTAAGGAGGACATGTGCTTTTAAATCCTCCTTTTTTCACATTTAAATCTTTCAGTTAGGGTAATAAACCTTACAGTATGTTTGGTGTAAAGTCTGTACCCAGTCGTAGGTGTTGATGTCGACTCCGTGTCTGAGCAGAGTCTCAACAATGTCCACGAACCCCCCAGAGCTGGCCAGTGTCAGGGCACTCTCTCGCTCCCTTGCAATTGTTTTGGGATCTGCACCCTTTAAAACAGATTTCACACGCACTTCAGTAAGACTGGGGTAACTTGCTTTTAATTACACACACACACATCTTTTTTGTTGTTGTTGTTGTTGTTTTTATGCTCACCTTTTCCAAGAGGAAGTCCACCACTGTTTTCTCTCCAAACGCTGCTGCCCACATGAGCGGCGTAAAGCCTCGCTCATCCTGTCTGCTGAGCAGCGAACTGTCTGCACGAGAAAACGAGACGCTGTGGGCGTTTCTAAACTTAAAYACAAAAATCCTGAACTTGATCACTAACCTTTATTCAGGTGTGTAGCCACTTGTGATACATCCCCCTGAGCTGCCAGCTGGTGTATRGACAGGGCTGTTGGAGAAAATAAAAACATTTTTTTTATTCATCCAGACGTACAGAAATGTAAGACATATGCAGAAACCAGCAGGATACTCGCCATCTAATGTCGCWGGTCGTACTGTAACCTCGTTCCCTCGTTGCTTGTTGGTGAGAGTGGTGGCATGTTTCAACAGATCATCTTCATCTACAACCAGAGTTTATTCAGAGGAAACTAATGTGTCAAAAAAGACATTTACTGCCTTATCACTCCAAGACTATCACATTAAGTGTTACACATAAACAGGTAATAAACATGTAAAGAAAAGGAAACAGTACCACTGAAGTTTTCAGGTCTTGAATTAGAGGAACAYTCAGCAGCGCCTGATGACTGATTATGTTGGTCGTTTGATTCCTCTTCATCACCTCTGCTCTCCATAACAGCTGCARTGAAACGATAAATGTGAAGAAAGCGTTGACAAAAAAATAAATACGTCTATTATAAAGCAAATAATTATATTTCCACTCACCCCCATCCAGCCTCACAGCCGCGTTTCCTTTTTGGAAAACTGAAAGTAAACTGTTTCAGGTCAGGACACGCGATGAATTGTCATGCTTTCCTAAACGAAACTACGGCCCACAACACTCGTTATTTACCACAAACAAACTCATTATTTCAACAAAAGCAACAAAAATAAATTGCGCTCGTATCGAGAGCCTGTGTAGCTCATCGGGCACTTTTTTTTCCTTCAAGGAAGAACTGTTTGTTGTCGTCAATGTTTCTGTCCGGAAATCTTATCGTGTGACACCGACGTACAATAATAATAATACGGAAGTAAAACAAAAATCAGGTGACTAGAAGGAAAAACAGCCTGCGCCATGGAGGATCAGGAGATGCAATTAAAGGTTCGACGAGGTAAACACCAGCAAATAAATCTGAAAACAACTTACCTCCATAACATTTTAACGCTGCATAACTAGCGCCTGSTTCATGCTAGCGGCTAAGCTAATGATATTTACTTGTAAGTTTCAAGCTGTAGAAATCTTTTCATTTTCCATAACACGGTTTTGTTATTTTTATACTCTTCTCTGTGCTTCTTCGTCTCTACAGTGAGTGACAAATTCACAGAGAGTATGTACGTTTTGGCTAACGAACCGTCCGTAGCACTGTACAGACTGCAGGAGCACGTCCGGAGGTCTCTGCCTGAACTGGTGCAACACAAGGTGATCATCCTGCTCACCTGCCGTTTGATTTTTATCGCTGTATACAACACACAATGGACACACAATTAACTGTGTCACGTTCCAGTAATCCTAGATGGGGTGCCAAATGTAAAATATAAAATATTACAGAATGTCACTCACACATTTTCAATAAGTGCACTGCCTTTACATTTTAAGATTATTACTTTTTTTACAAACTGTTAAATTTAAATGGTAAATAATGTATGTAAATGTTAAATCCTAAGTCTAAATGTAAAAAGTAAACATTAAATGTTGACATTAAGTATTTCGGAATGGAACACAGCCTTTGCCATTTTGTTATGATGTCATCATCCTGAGACAAAATCAACACTGCTAACACTGCTAATCCTTCCCTGCAAAGACATCAAACTTGCAGTTGCAGCTGATGTCTGAGCTGCACTTTAAAGTGCTGGACCACAGATACCATCCTTATTGTTTTCAATGAACACATTTAGAATTTAAACATTAAATATCTAACAAGAAAGACAGTGTTCCATTCCAAAATGCATAAACTTCAACATTTAGCCACAACATTTAAGATTTAACTTTTCCTTTTGCATTCATATTTACATTTAGATTTAGGATTTAATATTTACATATATTACTAAGCATTGAAATTTACCAGTTAGTAAAATGTAAACGAGTGAGCTATAAAACAAAATGTTAGTGGATGTTTTAAAATCAGGAATTTAGACTCAAAGTGAGCTAAAATAAAAATGTGTTAATGGCATTTATTAAAACTTTATTTTACACTTGACTCCCCATAACCCTAAACATAAACTTTTATTTTCAATCTTTTGCTTTTTTTAGCTTGATTGTTCAGATGGCTGTGACTGCTTCAATCTTCAATGACTGATGATGATGATCTTCAATGATAATTTTGTGTAAATAAAAGAATAGAATAAAATAAAATTTATCAATGCTTTTATCAAATTGCTTTACAACAGGTTCTTTTGAGTCTGTATCTCAGGACTTCTGTCATGTCTTTCATGCCTGTTGTCTACCCATCCCTCCCACCTGAGATAAAAAGCAGAATGAAGAAATGAGTCAAGGCAACAAATGTTGAATATGACAAGATGATTTTATCCCAATGTTGTTAGTTTTTTTTTTTTTAAAGTTTCAGCTAAATATAATATGTGACATTTCTACGGGACTTGAACTTTCTGATCTGTCAGGTGAAATTCAACACTGAATAACTTGTATGTTTCACTGTAACTCCTTTTGCTCAATATATGTGTTAAAAAATGTCTTCCACAAACAAAGTGACTGTGCATTCATGCCTTTGTTTCTCAGTGACAACATTTAGCTCAGAGCTGTGGTATTTGACTTGGTTAAAAAAATCTTAACTGGTGAGGTTCATTAAACTTGGCCTCAATTTTAAACATTGGTTGGGGCGGGGGGGTCCTTTTATGGTCTCTCTAAGCAGATTTTATGATCTGATTCTTGTTTATTTTCAAACCTACCACAGACAGACATGCAGAGCTGGGAGGAACAGAGTCAAGGAGCTATCTACTCTGTGGAGTATGCATGCAGGTGAGGTGATGCACAGTGTTCATATAACCCCACCTGCCTTTTTTTTCCCCTTGCAACTAATGCTTGGATGGGTGTTTGTTTTCTGCAGCGCTGTGAAGAGCATGACAAACAGCAGTTTGTATTTCAAAAACATTGACGGCCTTCTTCGTCGAGCCATCAGCATGAAGGAACAGATTAGTAACTCTCAAGGTCGCAGGTAGGAGGATGGAATAAAGAAGACAAGTGAAAAAGAAAAATATATATTTTCAGTAGTTTATGTATCATTATACAATAAAATATAACATTACCAAGTAAATAGAAACACAGATGATCAACATGTTTGTTTAAAGTGATAAAAATATCCACCTTTACTGTTTTTGTGGAAATGAAGAGAGAGTCTTAGCTGGACTTGTACTTGATCAGCTGATCACTAGCAGGTGTTTGCATCTCTATAAAAACTGAGGATTTGTTCATTTCTGATGAGGATTAACTTAAAGCCAAGATGGAAAATCATCAACAGTGATCCTAAAGTAATATTTCCTGCAGTCCATCAAGTTGATTGAATAAACTATTTCAAGTTAATCATTGCAGAATGAGAAACACTGTTCACAGTTGGAACAATGGGCCTCATGCAAGAACATGTTCGTATTCTTATCCTAAATTTCTCTTACTTTTGTTCGTACAAAGGGTTCGTACGAACATGCCACGTCAGATTCAACAAACTCTTCTATCTTCAGGAAAAGTGCGTAAATGAGCTGCGTAAATTCCACCTGTTCTATCCAGCTGCTCGTGCACGTGAGAGGAGATTAGCATAATTACCACCCCAAAAACACCATATAAGGCTATGTTTCCTGCCTCAGATATCAGGAAGTGTTCATTCATTCATGAAAATTACAGCGAAAACTAAAAAGAAAAACTTTACGAGTTCAGAGATTGAAGTCTGTCTGTCAGAGATCCAGAAAAGAAAATCTGTCATTTTTAGCAGCTCAGCTGTGGGATAAAAAGAGCTGCTAAAAGTATAAACAACTGTGTTAAATCATTTTCATTTATTCAGAAGCCGCAGCGCTGCGCAGCGCTGTGCCCCCCCGCGCTGCGGTGGTCTCAGATGCGGGTTTGAAATAAGCATTTTAAAATGTTTTCAAAATAASTCTGGCACTTTGGAGAAAACCCAGGACTCACTGGAGGGATTATGTACCCCCTCTGGTCTGGGAATGTCTCAGAGTCCCCCAGGATGAGCTGGAAAGTGTCGCTGCGGAGAGCGGGGTCTCCTGCTGCCCCCACCTGCCGCACCTGATAGCGGGTAAGCCGGCCAGACGGACAGTTTATATTGTTAGTCTAAATTATTACATTTAAAATTATAACTCTAATTCAAGCAGAATAACTTATTGTCAACATAATTATGGAGTGTGATTTATTTTCAACTCAAAATATCTTCAAACTAACGAAATATAAAGTTATTAGGGAGGAAAACCCGTCTGGATATCAGCAGACTGACTGYTCGTAAAATATACGACAGGTCTGGACCACTCSTGAATTTTGTTCGTATCTGAAAAAAATCTTAGAATACGAAAACATTGGTGAATGCCACAAATTCTCCTAAATCACTCGTACGCACGATTTAAGAAAAAATCTGTGCGTACGAACGGTTCTTGCATGAGGCCCATTGTCTGCGGTATGCCAAAATGCATCAGGACTATTTTTTAGTTTGTTTTTCCCTACAATTGTAGATGTTGGACAGATGAGACTCAAGAAAACAGTATTTGTGCACAGATCTCATATTTGATGAGGTCAGCGGTCGAGGGCTGATTAAGCTCTCGAACTGTAGTGATCGGCACACGTCTCATTCCATTATTTCTGTGCTATTTCAACATTTCATATATCAAAACATTCATCTCATTTATGGCATGGGTGCTATGACTTTTTCTTTGCTGCACTTTACACATTTTTGTTCTGATTCTGGTTTTTGTAACTTCCTTGTGCTAATTTTAGCTTCTTTTTTGCAAGGTTTAGCTACTTTTAGCCTTTTTTCAGCATGCTTCAGCTGCTTTTCTACTAATTTCATATATTTATTTGCAGCTTAATAAATTGTATTTATTTTTGTGTGTTTTACTTTTTTTCATTTAATGCTAGTTGTTTTCCATTGCAACTGCAAAATATTAATATATATCATAGATTTTATTCTTTATCTTATATTTTCTGTTATTTTTGTTGTTGAGAGGGAGGCAAGGTGGAACAGTGATGCTACAAGGAGCAGAGGTCACAGAGGTGCAGGACTTCAAGGACGGACGGTCCACTGTCCAGGAAAACAGGGAGTGTGGTAAAGAACAGAATCCAAGTGGGATGGAGGAAAGTTTCAGGAGTAATTTGTGATAAAAGGATGGCAGGAAAGGTCAAAGGAAAGATTTGTAAGAGGCTCAGCGAGACCAGGTGTGTTGTATGGTTTGGAGACAGAGACGTGGACAAAAAGACAGGAGACAACTCAGAACTGAGGATGAGGAGGTTCTCCTTGGGAGAGACAAGGATGAAGAAGATTAGGAATGTGATCATCAGAGGTACAGCACAGGTGGAATAGAGATAAAAGTAGAGATCAGACTGAGAGGGTTTGGGCATGTCCAGTGGGACAGTGGGTATATTGGACATGTCCAGAGGAGGGACAGTGGGTATATTGGACATGTCCAGAGGGACAGTGGGTATATTGGTTTGGACATTTTCAGAGGGACAGTGGGTATATTGGTTTGGACATTTTCAGAGGGACAGTGGGTATATTGGTAGAAGGATGTTAGAGGTGCAGCTGCCAGGAAAACAACAAAGAGGAGACATATGGAAACAGTTAGGGAGGACATGGAGGTAGACGGAGTGAGGACAGTGTGAGGTAGAAGAGGACAACTTGCTGTGGAGACCCCTGAAGAGGAAACAGCCCAATAAAGAAGTCTTTTTTTTGTTTGTTTGTTTTATCTTTCATATTTATTTGTATATGATTTATTTTCATCATATCACCTGCATGCAGATCACATGATGTGACCCCATCACCCAGCCCCCCTATCCCCTCTCCACATGCTCCACCCCCTTCCTCATGATCTGTGGACAGATGTTTCCAAGGTTAGTAGCTCCTCTAGACATTGGAATAAATAAAAAAAGGTGAAAATGGAATTTACTTACCTTTTTAAGACAAATCTTTTTACAAAGGTTTTAATGTTATACTTTAAATATTCAAAGTATTTTTTATTTCATTTGTTCAAAATTTGTATGGTGTATGAGGAATCATTTTCTATACAAAAAAACATCRCATCTGCATTCACTCAGTAATAAAAGACAAAAGATACTCTGCATTTGTAAAATGTAGTTTTCGTTTACATCAATGCTGTGTTGTTTTCAGGACAAACTTGCGTGTACTATCTAAAAGTTCTACATGCGCAGTGGGATTTCACACGAGCAACAGTTAACGGTCATCAGTTCTTTGATCACGCTTTACTTTAAGCTCAGCTCTTTACGTGTCACACAAGAGTTGAGTCTTTTGCTGAAATCCCTGCTTTTCGGGCGAGAACGCTCCTCATTTCATTGTTGACCCCGTTCCAGGGTTGAACCTGGGCTTGCAGTAGGCCTGATTCAGTGGACAGTGTCCTGTGCATTCGAGGACCGCTCCCAGCACCGCTGTAACCGTCTTTATCAGCGGGGTGACCCAGGGACCCTCCGGCGGGGGCGTACTGCTGCTGTTCTCTTTGCCTCAGGTTGCCACACGGGCTGTAGGAGATGGGAGGCTGGAGGTGGGACTGGCTGCGGTGGATCCGCGGCTTGTCCACGCCGACTCTTAGTTCGCAGGGCCGAGAGATGGGCGCGCTGCTGCTGCTTCTGTGGTCGTTTTGATAGAGCGTGTTGACCCTGTCGCTTTTATAGAACTTAGCTGTTTGACAAGTTTTGACCAGGGAGTGTATCACAGCCACCAGCAGGATTAGGACTCCAGAGGAGAGAACACAAGCGCTGGCAATACCTGTCTCCATTTCAAATATCAGCAGCATGAAGATGGACAGTGCTGCCGAGACAGAAAAAAAACAAACAAAAAAAAAAGATGATTTACCTGTACAAGTCTATAATTTTACTAACTACCACCAAACAGTATTATGAATGTAAAGAATTATTAAAGGGGCAATATCATGTAAAATCAACTTTTTTGAGTTTTATATCATGTTATAAAGTTATACTCATAAAAAACATGCCCAAAGCCTTGCTTTGACTCATTCATGCATGTTTGAGAAATCCTGCAGCGTTTTTAGGAAGCCATGCTGAGGAGCAAAACGACAGGTGGGGACCAGAAACGCCTCTGGGACATGTCTTTAAGCCGAACTTCCTCATCACGGAGCACACCTCCCCATCCCCGACCCCACACACCCCGCCCATGACTCCTGCAGGCTCTCAGCAGTAAAGCAAACGAGTGAAACTGAAAGTGAAACTGAAACTGTCTGCTGCGCTCAACATTTGGCTACTTCTCTCACTCAGTGAAGCTCTTTTCAGATTCAAAATACCTTTGAGGAAATGCATTTTCAAATGCCAAGTAAACTGCATCATAGTGCACGCGCGAACCTCCCTGCGCTGAAATGGGCAGGACAGAAGGGGAAGGTGGTTCTTAAAGAGACAGCGGCCAATTTCAAGGCGTTTAGAAGAGGAAGTGATGAGAAGATACGTTTATTTTCTATTTAAACATAAAAACAGCATTTTAATAATAACTAAAGGTGACATGGATACTTTATTATGGTATAGTATTTAAATATATGCCTGAGAAACACATAATATTGCCCCTTTTAAAGAACATGGAAAAAAGTAATTGTTGCACCAGTGCTTTTCAAGTAAATTTTACTACTGTAATATGAGATAGGATTTACTTTTCAGTACTCAATCGTACTTACCTTAACAATTAACAGTAATGAATTTACTGATAAATTGTTACTCAGTTATTTTTTATTATATGTCATTTATGTTAATAAATTATGTAAAGGAAATAAAATATTGTCACATATAATTTATTTAAGTAAAGGTGACATATCAGGCAAAATCCACTCTCTTTAGCCAATAAATATTTTTGTTGTGAACTTGTCTCTAGTAGCACAGAAAAGTTTAATTTAGTCTCTCCTGGCATTGCAAAGATAACTTTATGTTCTGTTTGGGTCATATTTTTCAGCTCATTCTGTTTTATTTATTTTGTAAATAGACTTGCTATGTAAGGTCTGGATTTACCAACTACAGTTTTGTGGTCTTCATTCTCTGCTTGTGGAGTTACAATAAGGAGGAATTCAGACCAAAGCATTACAGTTCCACTTTATATAAAACCCAACTGAATGGTTTAAATGTGAAAAAGAAGAATTTAAAGCATATTATGCTCCTTAACTTTAAAAATTTTTATAGTCCCTCAGTGAGAAAATTCTCTGCAAATGTTGCATATGCAATATGACAATATTTTATTTACTTTCCCTGATTTATTGACATAAATATGACCTCTAACTGAGTAACAATTAGTAAATTCATGACTGTTAATTGTGATGTTAAGTACATTTTACTTAATACTGACAAGTAAATTGTACCTGATATTACAGCAGTACAATTTACTTGAAAAGTGAGAAGAGGTCTCTGCAGTCATTAAGTAGGAGTTTCTTGTTGAGTGGGTGTAGTTTGTTCAAGACTATTTTGGGTGGGGTTTGAAGAAGCTGGGAGTAGCTTGGTCGAAACGGCCAAGAATCGCCTATATTTTTAAAATGTAAATATTAATTTTAATCATAACTCGAGACTGGAACGTGCTAGCTGCATGAAATTTGAATGCTTTACATGTGGAGGGACATGTAACAATTCGGCTTGGTCAAAACAGCCCTAACCAGCCTGTAAAAACATCTCTATATGAATTAATATTAGTCATAACTTGGGACAGGAAGGTGCTTACTGCATGAAATTTGAAGTCAATAAATGATGTAATTTTTATTTGAGACATTGTTCCGTTTTAAACTGTACATAGATGGTCAACAAATCATATTTACACACAATAACAATAATTTTTATTATTATCATTACTTCCTCTTTTAAGTTGCCCCATAAGACAAGTCATTTAGACAGTAACGGTTTTACCAAGCTCCGCCCACACCCAACCTCCACCTATTTTCCAAACTCCGCCAATCACGGTTAGGACAAATTCCKCCCACGCCAACTCCACCAATCAAGTTAAGGACAAACACCGCCCACTTCAAGAATTCTGTCAATCATGTTTATTACAAGCCCCGCCCACATCACAAACTCTGCCAATCACAGTTAGGACAAACTCGGCCCACACAACAAGAAACTACCTATGTGCTGCAGAGATCTCTACTTGTGAAGTTGTAGTGCAAATTGTTACAATGATTTCATCAAGTAAATGTTACAAGTTATTTTTTTAGTGACAACACATGTTCAGTGCTGCTTTTACTCATTCATGTTGTCCTGTTTACAGGAAAAGGACTATGGACCCAGGCATGCTGAAGGAAGGAGGGGAAAGGTACAGCTCTGGGATGTGAGGCCACTTCCTGTCTTGCATTGGTGGTGTTGCCTCTGCAGGGTCTTCCTCGTTTTCTCTTTCAACTGCTGGCGTGGGGTCAAAGGGGGTGACTCCTCTAATCTCAATGAAATGACTGACTCCAGTCACCCCCCCATCCAAACACCACCCCACAGCACAAGCCAATCAGCGAAACAGGACGCACCAGCACTGCCAGGTTCAGCATTAAAAACACTTAAGTCATGGCCACTCAAAGAGTGCATTGTTCTCTTGGAGCGGCAGGCTGGATCAGAAGGGAACGCAGAAGCCCTGTTTTGCCTCTGCTGCTGTGACTCCACAGCTCCAACAGGAGTTTCAGACTCTAGTTTTCAGGTTTTTACGAGTTTGTCACAGGTGGATGATGGCAAAGCTGTCCTTATGTCCAATTCAGTAACAAATGCAGCAATGTCCAACTTTTAAAACGCAAGTAAATGTTCCCGTTTTCTAATTTTTTGTTCTTTTTCTCTTACCTGCCAAGTAGACGGAGACCCCCAGGCAGAATAGACCCACAGCCACATGTCGTACAGCTCTGCTGTCTAAATGAAACCAGTCAGCTCTGTTGAAAGAAAGATATTAGTGTTTGTGTTTACACTTCAGCGATGTTTCTTCATTCTTAATTGGGGCTTTAGTTAGCAACATTCCTTTGTGATAATCTCAGTATTGTCATCCTAAGCATTATATTCTTAGGTAATTTGTTTATTTAGTAAATATTTTGTGACACTAATTATTATTTCCTGTTTTATGGAATGTCCCCTCCGTCATTAGGGCGGTCCTGGGGTACGCCATTGAATGTTTTTATACTGACGTGAGAACAGGCCAGCTGGAGGGCCACTCTATTATTCACCAAGCACTGGTTGAATAATAAGAGGAAAACCATTGTTTAGATAGAATTCATAAGAGTTGAGAGGTTGGGGGTTGACCAACAACACAGCAGCATGAGGTTAAGAAGCTCTCTTTATGCTTCTGAAACTGCTCTTTTCACCAAAAACTTACAGTTAAATTTAGTATCTAGGACAAGGTTGTACTTTGTTGCACCATCAACTAAAGAAGACTKTGGACGCAAGGAGGAGCACATGGAAACAAATTAAATTTAAATTTCAGCTGAGGCAACTGTGTTAGAGCAGAAATGAGGAGCTATAGAAGTGCTAGCATTTCCTTCCTTTTGAACAGAATGTTTTTGCTACCAATAATCAGACTCAATAAACTAGTTTTAAACCATGGTTTGTGAGTGTGCCTTGAACATATTTGTATATTTAACGATCACTATTGTCTCACATAAGTGACCACTTACTAACAGCTGCCTGAAATTTTAGGCTAGAAGTTGTGCTGATACCTTGTTTCACACTGTTGGCAACATGCAGGAGTGTAAAGTAACAGGAAAAATAAGTAGAAATTTTGCTTATCTGTATTTGAGTAGACTTTATTTCTAGTAGATATACTGTATAATATTTTAATACAGCTTTATAATCATTATAGCATTTAGAAAAATGTTTATTTATTTATATTTTTGGGATAGGTCACCTCCCAATAAAGTAATTTTGGTAATTCTAACTGCTCACTTTTACTCAATACTTTTACTTCAAATACCTGCACATTTTATATCAGAAATTGACTTTTGATTCTTAAGTACAATAAATGTCAGACACGAACTTTTACACAATAATACTTTTCAAGGCGAGTTTAATTTGTACCAAAGTAATTTATAATAAGATACTTGTACGAATACTTCAGTATCATTTTGTTGTACTGTATATATA